CGACTCTTCGAAGCCGACGTGATGCGTGTTTGTGGAAGACTCCGCTTGGGTTGCGACAACAAAGAAAGCCTCATCGTCGGATTCTCCAAACTCCAAGTCGCTGTCATCAGGCATTGTGGCGGGAGTGGATCATGAACTGGATCCTGAAGTGGCTGATTGACGTTGCGCGACAAGATGAGGCAAGGTTGATTTGACGCGTCATCATGTGACGCCAAGACGGAATGTTCCCCATTTGCCACACCTCAACACCAACCATCGGATTGAACATTGGCCATTCTTAGAAGAGCCGAGAAGTATGATGAAGCTCAACCATCTCAGTATAGACCGTGTTTCCGCCACCAACTCCCCCTCTGAAGCGTCCGTCCCAAGGCTCGTATCACTGGCGCCTCAAGATCAGGTCCAGCAACCTTCGATGCAGTTATTGCCTGCAGACGACCGAGTTGTACCTAAGTTACCATCATACCATGCTGGAGCTCTGGTAGCGCACAGGAAAGTCCCAGAACTTTCTTCCTTGCCCTGCCTCTGGCTGCTCATCCATCGAATAATTCAGCTGGATATCTGTCTCCATGTCGAATGCGTACATCCAGTGATGGTCAATCTCGTCAAGGGCCCAAATTCTTGAAATTGATCTTTCCAAGCTTATTGTTTGTTTCTGCTACTTAATGATGATGTTTCTTGGAATAAGGGTATCCAATATGAGAAAATAAACTTGTTCCTTCAAATATCGACAAGTTTTGCATTTCCAACTTGATGCTGCTTGATTCTTCCATCCATTTTCTTTCGGCGTTCTTAAGTGGTGTCCAGGTGAAAAGTCAGGATTGTCTCTTCCAAAATCGACGACGGTTCTAATCGCCATTCTGAGTCTCATATGGATGGACGTAAGACGTTGGAGCGTTCCTAATGTCGACGAACCTGACCGTTTGACAAGCCCAACCGCCCCTTGACCATCAGCACCAACATTGAAGAGTGATCCTCAACGTCATTCGCACAAAATAATTGGGTTCATCATCCTACCGTCTTTTCGCAAATCTCCCGAGGTCTTAACTCATATCACATCTCCGTCGTAGAGCTTTCAGCTTCAAACTGGTCCTTTTCGCACAACAAATCTCTCTTCGTGATCTCGAAATTCCCTGACAATAATGTTCAAGCCTCTCATAGTTGTCCTTGTTCTCGCGCTGAGCGCTGCCACTGTGTCAGCCCAGAGCAGCAGCAGCAGCGAGACAGATGTCGCTCCCACGACCAGCGCTCCTCCCACGGCCCTCGATATCTGCCTGTTCGCCTGTGCCGCCGCCGACGTAGACTGCAAAGCCGATTGCGTCGGCGTGCCGCATCCCGACTTCATCGCTGCCAACAACACCAACAACTGCATCCTTGCCTGCCCGCAGGGCGATGGTTCCGCCGCCGATAATGCTGCATTTACCAGGTGCAAGCAAGCCTGTATGCCCCCCTTTCTTCGGAGACGCTGCATGGGATGGAGTACGACTGACGAGTTCCAGGCATTAGCAGGTTCGTAATTCCATATGAGCGGACTCCGGGCGCGCCCACGCCGACCAAGCCAAAGGCCACTTCTGCTCGTTCAAATGGTATCTTGGCCACTGGTTCTCCCGACGGCGGTGATGCAGAGGATAATGCTAAGCATGGTCCGTATAGTATTTGGTATTTGCAGTTACATGAACTGACTTTCGTAGGTGACTCTGAAACTGGTTTCGGTCAGGATGGCGACTCGGGCTCAGGGGGCTCTTCGAAGGCCACCGGCAAGCCGTCTTCCGGAGGATCTGATGTTGCTGCTCTTCCTAGCAGCTCCTGTGCTTTCGTGATTTTCTTGGCTGCTGCGTTTGCTTGGGTCATGTAAGACAGTGCCATGCGATACTGAAAAAGTGGCGAGGGTCATGTTTTAGGAGATTTCAAACCATATCGGCGTCGATGAGTAAGGAGAAATGTCTGAAAAACGTTGAATTTTGGCTCAACATGTAATCTTGTCCAACTTCATTGCGCTCTTGTGACCTCATCAGGAGCTTTGATGCTGCCACTCACAAAAGCAAGAGGGGATGGTCTGCGAGCAGATTAGTGAAGTAAGACAATATGAAATACGGGAAAGCACCAACATAAATACCAAGTCCACTTTGAACCACCAAGGGAAAATCAGGAAGGGTTGAGACTGTTACTAAGGGGTAAATCTAAGCACGCGCGACCCATTAAAGAAAGGAACAAAAAGACAACCAAAAACATTGCCATGTGGCGAACTCAAACAGCTGGCTTAACAGATATTAACCGAGGTAAAATCGCAAAAAACGGAAAAAAAAGAAGAAAGCTCCCTTTGTGATTGAGGCTCTTGTTCCTCTTCTACGGTGTGGGGTGTCGAGGCCCATGTCTCTCTATGGCCTTGTAGGACTTTTTCCCCCTGCGGCCCTTCTAGGTGGCCCTTGAACTTCGCTATTTTATGCTTTCCTCCTAATCACTGTACTGAATACACCAGTCAACCATTGGATAGCTAACGAGGCTTGGATCTGGTCAGTGTTGTTTATTTTCTTGTTCTTTGGATAGTTGAATGTTCATGTCTCATTTGCTCATGCTGCTGATCATCTCTCGCTGTGTTGCTCGGTCACGGTTGGTTTCGCTCAAAGAAGGAATACCTGATCGCAGGGTTAGTACAATGCAGGAGCTTTAAATTAATGACTCAGACATACTCCTTAAGTCTCCGACAACGTCCTTGGCTGGAAGGTCATTAGTACGCAGATCCGAGTATGTTTGAGGGACCTCATGGAACAAACCTTTTCCAAAGTATACCTCCTCTGCAAAATGGTTATTACCTGGCCAAGTATGGGGACTAGGATGCACTTACGTAGTAAATTCCTCATGTTCAACTCCATCGCTTCAACCATCTTCGCAGGTGTCAGTGGCTGTTTAAACAGGGCGTCGAGTACAGGGGAAATAATGTAGATGCTCATTTACCTTCCCAATATTTGCAACATGACTCGAATCATCCTCCACGGACATCTCTTGCTCCACTTGGCGGACCATGTTACCGCTAAGATCCATAGACCCAAGGCTTTCTGCATCTGCTCCCAAGCTGAGAATTACCGTGCTGGTGAGCTTGTATTGAGCTGTCCGACCTCTTCCGATGGTCTCGAATACGTGTATGCTGTCCCATCCTCCGGAACTTTTTGAAATGGGCGACACCGCTGCTCAGGAGGTCAGTATCATACTCGCTTGTCGGAAAACCTTCCGTCGGTGCTGGCTCATACATTTCTTCAAGAGTACACAACCTGCAAAATCATCATTTTCGAGATCCCAGAAGTATACGCTGGATATGCCGCCCTCATAGTACCTGCAAACGGTAAATGCCAGTTTCAGTCAAGACCCGGAATAATACTTACAGCTCTCGGTACACATCAAACGCATCGTTTGCCTTGGTCTCCATCTTCCTCACCTTGTCGCTCTGTGGCACGCCCTCTCCGTCTTCTAGAGGCGGATCAAACTCATTGCTCCAAGGACTCCTCCAACTGTCGCCGTCGCGATTGTAGTCGCAGCAGAGATACTCTCTGCCACTTTTCTTGCATTTCCGAATAGAAAGTGGTACGTCGACAGATTCGAGGAGGTCTTCGGTGAGAGAAGGCGCAATTTGGCAGAGTAGATCGACGTTTTTGGCGGTGTCTTTGGGGTTCAGGCGGCGGAGGAGGTCGCTGTTGCAAGAATTAGAATTTCGTGCTAGTAGTGAGGTTCAAAAGGCTTACAGAGCACTGTCAAACGCTTCTTCGGAGGCCATTTTGTATATTTGACTTTGAGGGATCTCAGGAGGTGAATTCTATGTTGCGATGGGAGACGATTGAGGTTGGTCGTCGTGGGGAGCTGTCAGCCCTGCGCCTTGGCATGTATTACCCCTTCGGGCCTGGTCTTCTTGGAGCTGTACTCTGTCCCAGGGTTACGTTTGATTGACGACAGCATAAAATGGAAATATACACCTACAGTAACTTCAGCTAGGTCCATTGTTTTCTATTTAGGAAGATTTTTGACGAAACAACTCTGGTTGAACGTTCTTCACGGTGCCGTATCTAACCAACTGCGACAATTTCTCCTGCTCTGCTCAGCATGGCCGATCAAAACACCATCCGAACGTCTACTCTCCGCAAATCAGCACATCTCTTCTGTCAAGCCTTACTATCCCCTCCTCCGCCGAAGGAACTCATCTCCAAATACTTCACATCCAATCCTCAAATCACAGAACATGGTCCTACCTGGGCAACATCGCGCCTCCCTTTCCTCGGGAAAACATTCAGCGGCGTCGATGGAAGTGTCGAGTACTTCAACGTCCTCTCCGAAACCCTCAAGATGAACATGACCGAAGACACATTTCCTGGACCAGAGGGCTTTATTGTAGATATTGTAGATGCACAAGCGACAACTCCTGATATGGCCTCTAGCAAAGGCAGTGCAAAAGGCGTCGTGAGCGTGGTCGGCCAAGCGACTTTCTCGAGCGTCAAGACGGGAAAGTCTTGGGACGAGAAGTTCATTTACCGATTGAGTGGCTTTGACTCTGAAGGTAGGATTGGCCATTGGGAGATTTGGGCTGATCCTTTGAGTGCTTGGGATGCCGTTGGGGGATGATTGAGAGCCGGATTGTCCTGTGAAAGACCCGGCTTTTTTGATCAACGCGGTTCTCATACCTCCAAGGAAATTTACAGGGCGGAAAGGGTTCTTAACAGTAAAGAAGAGGTAATTTTACATGTTGAACGAGCTCGATTCCTCTTCGTGGGCTCTTTCATCGTGTTAGTCGACACCGCTTGCATCTAGGCATACCGTAGTACCGGTAAATCGAGCAAAAATATCACCTACATGTTGTTCCCTTTATCTTAGGCGTCCACTGGTGCGGAGGCAAGTCAAGGTCATGTGATGTATTATCCACCTCCCTAACAGCGTCTGACTCACAACCAACCCCTAAACCGCCACGCCCACCGTTATAAGCCCACCAAAAACTAAACCTTCCAACATCCTCCTGAGCAAGCTGGGTAGCGCAGTGGAAGCGCGCCGGGCTCATAACCCGGAGGGCAGTGGATCAAAACCACTCTCAGCTAAGAGGACATTCTTTTTTTTTGGGGATTTTTCTTTGGAGCAGAGGTATGCTCAGAGATAACTGGATATCTAACACAGTTTCCGCACGTCCGCTTTTCTCAATGAAGCAGTTCCACTCTTGTAGACTTTCAGCCAAATATAGCAGTGCGGGCTGCATGAATACGAAGGCTCGTTTGAATAGACTGCGGAAGGGTTGAGATGTCTGAAACCTTTGCATGTAGCTGCATCATACAGCTGGAAGTATTTCAATCTAAAGTACATGGGTATTGGGGAATCTTTGGTAGTTTTGTACAGTCGTTAGCTCCATCATCCATCCCGTGGGCGAGCTTAGGAGAGGGAGTGGTGTATCTTTTCGCTGGCCCAAAGCCAACTTTCTTTCAAGGGATCTCGCATTAATACTACCGACTTCAAATGCTCTTGCTTCTTCACAAGTTCGATGCGGAAGCCTGGCGCATCGGTTCATTTTCTGTCGACTCGCGATCATTGGCGACGTTCGCCTCTTCCGTACTTTTGGCGACTGAACTCTTGAGGGTCTTCAGAACACTCTCGGCCACCTGGATAGTCTCCTCAGGTATCCCTTTCGCGAGTGTCAGCATATTTGCAAACCATGCCACGCTTTGAATCGCCGAGTCTACTTACCAGCAAGACGCGCCACCTTCAACGCGTGGGACTTTCTATTCACACCTGGCTCGAGCCGATGAATATAGGAAAACGAGCCATCTTCCTTCTCAGCAACATCGGTATGATAGCAAGCCACCTCATCCCAAGTTTCAGTCATGTCCGTAAGGATATGAAAGTGTGTCGCGAAGAGGGTTCTGCATTTGTTGATACGGCGAAGATGGTCGAGACAAGCATACCCGACCGCGGTGCCGTCTTCAGGAGTTGTGCCACGGCCGACTTCGTCCATGATTACCTGGTGAAGTAGCGTAAGTATGCTTCTTAATCTACAAGAAGGGAATGGGCATACGAAAGAGCGTTCTGTAGCTTGATTAAGGATATCCGCCGTCTCGAGCATTTCCACCATGAATGTGGACTGGTCTTGGTAGAGATTGTCCGCGGATCCGACCTGTAGTGACACTGCTTAGCTCAAAAGAAAAGGTCTTCCTCGCCGAACTACTTACGCGACTGAATATCTTGTCCACTAGTCCAATCTCTGCATAATCGACGGGCACAAAAGAACCGGTCTGAGCGAGAATGGAGATTAAAGCATTCTGTCGAAGAAAGGTGCTTTTGCCGCCCATATTTGGACCAGTGATGAGCAATATCCTTCGGTCATCTCCCACAGACAAGTCGTTCGCACTGAACTGCCTCCCTTGCTCCGTGAGACCCGCTTCTACAACGGGATGTCTCCCACCGAATATCGTAGTCGTTGTTCCCAAGTTTACGATCGGCCGCACAAGATCCTGCTCTTTCGCGAGGCGAGCAAAGGAGCATGCTACATCCAACTCGTCTAACACGGAAGCGTTGCGTCTTAACTTCACGAGATTCCTGACGACCTGCTGTCGAAGTTCACTGAAGAGTCGCTGCTCCTCGTTCTGGATCTTCAGCTTGGCTCCATCCACGGTCTGTCCCAGTCTGGTCCACTCGGGGAGGTAGAACGATTGCGTCGATTTGCTGGCTCGGACGGTACGTGCGCCTTCCATAGTCGCCATGGCCGCTTTCACGTCTTTCCCTTTGACGTGGCAGATATGACCAAGTCCAGGTGTCCACTTCAGAGAGAGACTTGGAACATTGAACTGTTGTTTGAGTTTCGCCTCCAAAGCCGCCTTTTGGTCCCGTAGGTTGTCCAGAAGGCCGTGGAGTCTTCCGAGCTGCGGGGTGGCGCTTCTTCGCATGATCCATACGCTGTTCTCGACGTCATCCTTACTCGATGCTGCTGTCTCAGCCATCTTGGTCTTGTTTGCCTTCGTAAGCCTTTTAACGGGTTCTTCTCCCTCCTCTTCCAAGACGTCTGCTGCTAGGCCAGCTATAGCAGCAGCTTCACTATTTTCAAATTCATGCTGCTCCATGACTTTGTCTTCATCGATGGCATCCAATATCCGTTCGGAAAGCTCGATTGGCTCGGCCAAGTGTAGACGGCCATGCAATCGCCGTATGCATGCTCGACCCGGAAGCAAATCAGTTGATCCAGCTTCTGCTGGCAACTCTCCATGAAATTGCAATAGCTCAGCAAGCTGCCTGGTGACTTGAATGGTCTTCGACAGCCCTATTAGATCGTCTGCATCACCTCTACCAAAAGTAAACTTCTGTACGAGGCGCAACGAGTCGAATGTTTGTTGAAGAAGAGTGATGAGGTTCTCCATCAATACCGGATGGTCCCGAAGCTCTGTTACGAGATCTAGCCTATCATTGATCTCGGCAATAGACATTGAAGGAGATGCTTCACAATGTCAGCTTAGTCGTCAATAGCCGCAAAAGATACTTACTGAGTCTTTCCCGAAGCAAGCGAGAGCCGCTCTTGGTTACAGTTCTGGCCACCGCATGAAGCAGACTCCCCTCGAAGGATCCATCTCTCAGAGTGGTCCGGATCTCCAGAACTTTCAGGGTATTTCGATCGATGGCCATGAACTCGTCAGTCTCGCGATGTATTGGCGCTTCCAGCATCGGCTTTGTGCCTTGGAGTTGCGTCTTCACATAGTGCATCAGTAGATTGCCAGCATCCAGCTCCAGCTGGCTGAACTTCTTTGAATCAACAGCACCGGCCTTCTCTTCCAACATGGGGGCCCAGTCAGCAGCATCAGCCGCGCCGGCAGGGGCGCGGTGATATGTGATAACATGATATTCTTCTTTTAGCAGCGGCGCCAGCGGAGAGACTTTCAGATCTTGCATGCGACTGTCAACAACAATTTCTCGTGGACCTATCCTAGCGACCGTTGACGAGAGAGCGGCAGTATCTGCCTGTTGAGTGAAGAAGTCCCCACTAGACAAATCAACCCACGCAAGCCCCAAAGATTCAGCGATTGAATCGCCGGTTCCCGATTGACCTTGTTCTCCTCGTCCTTGCAGTGGTGTGAGATCCGTCGTTATGCTGAGGAGGAAATTGTTTGACAATGGGTCCATAAATTTCTCATCGATAAGAGTTCCCGGTGTAATTATTCTTGTGATCTTACGATCAAAAAGGTTGCCGCCAGATTTGGCTCGGTCTTCTGGATTGACAGCGAATTCATCGCTCAACGCAACGTACCTGTGCAGATCTTGCACCAGGACTTTGAGGAACTTGTCAATCTGGAAAAAAGGGAATCCTGCCTGTATTGGTGTTATGACGTCTACATCTCAAGAGAATAAGTATATCGTACCATCGGTACCGGACCAGCATTTGTATTCTTCCGCCCGAGCTTGAGATTCAGCAGCGGTGCAAACTCTTCGGCCTGGTTGAAGTACATCTGTACAATACTCCTTAGCCAATAGTCCCCGTCGTTGACGGTCACCACATACCTCGTAGAAGTTTCCAACTCGAGTAAGGACAACGCAGTGGGGGAACTTCAGCATATTATTCCGATGTTGTTGAAGGACAGTTGGATATGCTGGGCCGTCATCTTCTGCTAAAGGCTCTAACTTTTTCGTAGGAAGACGGCCCTGAGGTAGATCATCTAGGTTGAACGATGACTGTGTCTTCGCGCCGCGACTCCATGCTCTTTCTTTGGGAGATTCGTCCCTTAAAAGGGGTCGCGACAATCGCGTAGAAAGACATCGAGAATGGACGCGTGACAGTGGACGAGAAGTAACTTCAAGATGAGAGCGAGAGAGCATTGCTCGACTATTCAGTCCCCATGACGCCATCAAGAAAGATGTGAATAGAAAGAAAGAACACTTGCGGAGAACGGATAGCCAAAGCTGGGAAAGTCGAGCTCAGCGTCGCGAGATACCGCTTTGGGATAAATGTCGCCAAGATCCAGCCACTGCACGGCCACAAGAGCTCCTCGGAGACCCTGTCGCTCACAGAAATAGTGTTCCTCCATCTCATTCTCAAGTCGTGTCCTCTTCTTCTCAGTTACTATAGACAATATGGCCGCCCAATTCGAACCCTTGAAAAATGACCTGCTCCTCCGGGCTGCACGAGGTAAGCCTACAGAGGACAAACAATCTGCGAAGCCATCTCTGACGAATATAAGGCGAAAAGACCGAACGCCCGCCCATGTGGGTGATGCGCCAGGGTAAATTGTTTATTACTCCACCTCCATGAATTGAACCTAACTTCGACTTCAGCTGGCCGCTACCTACCCGAGTACCACGAGGCCAAGGGCAATCACGACTTTTTCGAATGCTGCCGTACTCCAGAAATCGCGTCGACATTGACCTTGCAACCCATTGAGCGCTTCGAGGGTATGATTGATGCCGCCATCATCTTCTCCGATATTCTCGTCATCCCGCAAGCCATGGGTATGGAAGTAGTCATGGTAGACAAGAAGGGACCACATTTCCCAGAGCCACTGAAGTCGCCCGCCGACAAGCAATTCATGCAGCTCCTAGAGCGAAGCCCGGATGTCAAGAAGGAGCTGGACTACGTCTACAAAGCCATAACCTTGACGAGGCAGAAATTGAATGGCAGAGTGCCCCTTATTGGCTTCTGTGGTGCTCCTTGGACACTCCTGGCCTACATGATCGAGGGCGGAGGCAGTAAAATGTTCATAGGCGCCAAAACGTGGATATACAAGTTCCCAGAAGAAAGCAAGGCACTCTTGCAAAAGATCACAGAACTCTGCGTGGAGTATCTTGCCTTGCAAGTGGTCGCTGGAGCACAGGTACAGCCTCCATCTCTTCAGTAGAGGTAAGTGATGAGCTCACACGACCATGCAGATGATCCAAGTCTTCGACTCCTGGGCCGGAGAGCTCTCTCCCTCATCTTTCCAAGTCTTTTCTCTGCCGTATCTGAACTACATTGCGGACAACCTCCCAAATCGCCTGAAGGAACTAGGCCAAGAGCCTGTACCTATGACTGTTTTCGCAAAAGGGGCTTGGTACGCCCTGGATGACTTGTGTGCTTCCAATTACAACGTTATTG